ACAAAAAAAAAAAAAAAAAAAGAATCACTGTCTATTTTAACACATGGACCTTTCATCCAAACCACAACAAAGACCTAACCAAACAGAAAATCACAAATCATTTCAAATGACTAATAATTAAGGGCATTTCTCTGACTATAACCTAAATGTTTACAATAAGAATATTAACTAGAAGCTTTATATTTGGAAATTGAGAAATATAATTATATGTGAATCAAAGAAACCATAATTAAAATAATTGAAGGAAACTCCAAGAAGTGAAATATACAGTTATTTAATACTAAAAGCTTCATGGATGAGATAAACACATTAAACGCAACTTAAGAAAAAAAATCTATTAATTACAAAACAAAGCAAAAGAAGTCATCCAGAAAGATACAAGAGATGAAGAAATTTAAAAAGAGATCCTTCTGTGTTTCCTAAGTGTGATGATCAGATTTTCATGCTATTATGTGAGATATGTCTCCCTCAAATTTTGTTATGATGTCAGCACATTACCCATCTGATATGAGAAAAAAAGAAAGAACATTTAAGAGATGTTAGAAACAGATGGTCCAATATCATCCTCAAATAGAGAATATGGGGAAGAGCCAATGAACCACATAGTACTGGTAACAAACCAGAAAATTCCATAGTTGGAGCCTGTAGTTTAAAAAGCACACTGAAAGCCAAAGAGGACAAATGAAAGTAAATCACACTTGGGCATATAATGATGAAACTTGCTGATAATTAAATACAAAGAAAAACATTTAAAAAATCATCAGAAAACTTAAAATACCCAAAGAAGGCAAAATTTAAAAACTGACAGTATGCTAGGTATGGTGGCATATGTCTGTAATCCCAACACTTGGGATTTGAAGGCAACAGAATCAGAAATCCAAATCCATCCTCAACTCCATAGGGAGCTCAACAGCAGCTTGGGCTGCATGAGACCCCGTCTCAAAAAACAAGGTGGTGAACCATGAGGAAGGCACCCAGTGTCAACCTCTGGCCTCCACAAGCATGGTCACACATCTATCACCACATACACATACCTCCCCCTCAATTTAGCCATACACTGTGAAAAAAAAAGATATATCCAAAATATAATGGTAATAAAGGCTGAAGGAGATGGAAAAGATACACCAAGAAAAATATTAACACAAAGTTAGTAGATATATTACTGTCAAACAAACTTTAAGACAAAAATGACTTTATAGGTGCAAAGACATACCTGGCTAATGATACAAGGCATAAGTGCAGAATTACATGTACATGCATTTGTGCAGGTTAGTTTTTGTCAACTTGACACAAGCTACAGACACCTGGGAAGAGGGAACTTCAATTGAAGAATTTTCTCCATTGGATTAGTCGGTAGCTACATCTGTGAGGCATTTTCTTAAGTGTTAATTGATGGAGGAGGGCCTAGGCCACTGTGGGCAGTACCATCCCAGGGCAGGTAGGCCTGGGTTGTAAGAAAAGTAGCTGAGCAAGCCAGGGGGAGCAAGCCAATAAGCACATTCCTCTATGGTCTCTGCTTTGGTTCCTGTCTTGAGTTCCCTCAAAGGTGGATTGTGACTTGGAAGTGTAAGATGACATAAACCATTTCCTCCCCAAGTTGGTTTCTGTCACAGTATTTTATAACAGCAACAGAAAGCAAGCTAGGATAGTATTTAACAGTCTTAGCTCAAAATACAGCAAAAACTGAGTAATTACAGAAAGAAATAGAAATAATCATAGTAAGATATTTTATTACTAATTGCTTAGAAAAGAAAATGAGACTAGTCACATTTTCTTCACTAGACTAGAAAACAAAACTGAATTTACATAGATACATAAAGTAAAAAAAAGGTATTCGTTCATTATACAATTAACAAAAAGCAATAATTCTTGGGATAGGGTATGGATGAGTTAGAGTACTTACTTAGCAGATTCCAGGACCTAGGTTCATCCCTACCCCACAAAATGAAAGACTGAAACAAACACATCCTCTCTCCCTCCTTCCCCCAACTTCCTCAGGTGTTGTTCCTCAGGTGCTGTCTATCTTGGTGTTTGAGTGTGTGTGTGTGTGCATGCGTGTGTGATGTATGAGTATGCACATGCATGCAAAGGCCCAGAGCAGGACATCAGATGTCTTCCTCTATCACTCTCTGCCTTACTCCCTTGAGTTGTTGCCTCTCTTTGGAAGTTCACTGGTTCAACTAGGCTGGCAGGCCAGCAAGCTCCCATGAACTGCCCGTTTCCTTTCCCCATTGCCAGGGTTATAGGCATGTGCAGCCATGCCTGGTTTTTATGTGTGTGCTGGGAATCTGAACTTGGGTTCTCATGCTTGCACAGCAAGTGCTCGTATCCACTGAGCCATTTCACTAGCCCCAACTTGGTTTTTGAGACAAAGTCTTTCTCACTTGGTCTGGAACTCACCGAGTAGTCTAAGCTGTCTGACCAATAAGCCCTAGGGATCTTAGCCTCACCAGTGGTGGGATGACAAGTGATGCCACGCCCAACCTTTTTACCTGGATTCTGGAGCTTGAACTCAGGTCCCCATGCTTGCACAGCAAGCACTTTACTGAGCTGGCACCCTAGTCTTGCAATTAACTTTTATTATTTTTTTTCTACTAACTGTTTTTGGATTCACTCATTATTATTTTTTTCCTAACTTTCTTCCTAAATTTATGCTGAATGTATAACAAAGTTAAATATTATATAAATTTAATCATGATATTATTAAATACATGAATTACTTAATAATGTGGTTCTACTTTCCCAAATACAGGGTTTCTTAACCTATATTTTAAAAATAAGCATTTTGTGCCAAGAGTATGGTCTGTGTGATAATAATTCTTTGGTATTAGTTGAGACTTCTTCTTTGCTAGCCACTTTGGTTAGTTTTTGTGTGTGTGGTGGTGGTTGTTTTATTTTATGTGTTTGAGTGTATTGCCTACATGTATATAAGTGTATCTGTGTTGTGCAATGCCTGTGGAAATCAGAATAGGGCATCAGATCCCCTGAAACTGGAGTTTACAGTTACAGGTTGTTACTGCCATGTGGGTTCTGGGAATCCAACCCAAGTCCTCTGCAAGAGCAGCCAGTGCTCTTAACAGTTGAGTCATCTCTCCAGCCCCTTGGTTAGTTTTTGTAAATGTCTACAAAGGCTTCTAAAAAATGTGTTGGTGGGTCAATGAGATGGCTCAGTGGGTAGAAGTGCTTGCTGCACAAACCCTGAGACATGAGTACGACTTGCAGAACCCATGTAAATGTCAAAAGAGAACTGAGTCCACAAAGTTGTCTTGTGACCACCACACATATACCATGGTGTGCACTCCCACATGCACACATCATGCATGCATACCTACAAATAAGAAAGTAAGGTGCATATGTACGCCCCCACACACAGTTAATTACAGAAATAAAGACAGAAAACAAAGGAAAAAAGGCTAAATAAAATCAAAAGATTAACAGGAGACAATCCTCTAGCAACATGAGTCAAGTAAAAAATGTAAAAACAGAGATGAAAGTTATTAACACTGCAAAGAATATAGACAAAAAAAAAGAAAATCTCACGAGACTAAACAACTTTTTGCCAATGAATTGTTAAACAATTTTATAGAGGAAAATTGTTGAAAATAACTCAAGGGAAAACCTAGGGAGATATAATATTAATGGTACTAAATAAAAATTGATCTTATAAAACTCATTAATCAATATAAGAAACCATAATTATCAATTTTGAAAATTATTGTGTACTATTTGCTAATCAAATTCTTTCATAAAAGAAAATGCAGCCTGAATGTTATGTTTCCTATTGATTTGTTTTAGTAGTTATAATGGTGTGTGTGTGTGTGTGTGTGTGTGTGTTTTCACCTATTTTAAAATTTTTAATTTATTACTTTTATTTTATATTATGAGTATATTGCCTGCATGTGTGTAAGTGCACCCATATCATGCATTGCCAGTGGAGGTCAGAAGAGGGCATCAGCTCCCCTGAAACTGGAGTTATGGACAGTTGTTAGCTGCCACATTGATGCTGGTAATTGAAGCTGGGTCCTCTGTAAAAGCATCCAGTGCTCTTAACTGCTGAGCCATTTCTCCAGTCCTGTTTCACCTATTTTAATACATAAGAGTTTATCCTACTCTTTAATATAACCTAGTAAACTAAATCCCTGCACCTATGTAAAGGTGGAAGGAAAAAACTGACTGAACAAAACTGTCCTCTGGCCCCCACATGCACAATGTAATGTGCAAGCCAATGTCTGGTATCTTTCTCAATTGCTCTTCATATCACTTTTTGAGAAAGGGTCAATCACTGGACCTGGAGCTTATCAATTTGGCTAAGCTGACTGGCCAATGAGCTCTAGGAATCCGCCTGTCTCTGCCCAGCAGCACTGGAGTTACAGACATCTAACATGCTCCACTTTTATGTTGCTGGAGATTTGAACTAAGGTTCTCATACTTGCTGGCAGGCACTTTAGCTACTGAGCCATCTCCTCAGCCTCTGTTTTCACTTTTAAATGATATGAATGTCTACAAAGAACATCTATGTGCTGCCCCCCCCACGCACGCACGCATGAAAGAAAATGAAAACTTGAAAATTATCCTATATGCAAGCTGGGCGTGGTGCTACATGCTTTTAATTCCAGCACTCAGGAGGCAGAGGCAGGTGGATCTCTGTGAGTTCCAGTCCAGCCTGGTCTACATAGTGAGTTCCAGGCCAGCTAGGGCTACAGGGAGACCCCGTCTCAAAAAGACCAAAAAAAAAAAAAAAGAAAGAAAGAAAGAAAGTAAATTATCCTATATGGAAAAATTTGCAAAGCTTCACTAAATATTTTAAAGCACTTAAATGTAAAAAAAAATATGTCACATAGAGGACAGAAACACAATTTTGTAAATATGTTAAGTCTTACAAATTAATTCATAAATGTACTGCATACTAAATGAAATAGCTACAGAGTTTTGCTAAAACTGACAGACCATGCCTAAAAATCCATATGGAAGAGTAAAACCCCCCAAAAAATGTTCAATGCCAAAGCTTCAGTAATTGAAATAGTATGTAATTGGCACAAGAAAGAGACCAGGGGTTCAGAAGATAAACCAATACAAATAAGGGAACTTAAGATATGGTAGAGAAATCATTAAATTTCACTGAAGAAAAGATAGGCTACTTGCTACATGATGCCATCAGTTAGCATTTAATTACTCATATCATAAAAAGCAACAATTAAACCTGTATCTTGCAGTATACAAAAATAATTTAGAATAGCCAGGGACAGTGGCTGCACACCTTGAGTCCCATCACTAGGGAGGCAGAGGCAGGAGGATCTCTGTGAGTTCAAGGCCAGCCTGGTCTATATAGAGTTCTAGGCCAGCTGAAGCTACAGGGAAACCCTGTCTCAAAAAGACCAACAACAAAAAAAAAAAAAAAAAAAAAAAGGAGAACTTTTAAAAATATTTATTATTTTTATTTTATGTGTATGAGTGTTATGCCTGCATGTATGTGAGTGTACCTGTGTCATGCAATGCGGCAGAGATCAG